GAATAAGGTAAAGCTAGGTTAATTTAATTTATCCAAATACTGCATATGCAAGAAAATTAAAAAAAATAGTATTTGTGCTTGGACATGATTAGGTGATTAATGTGAATACAACTTCTCTAACTGAACATTTAATTTTCAAAGTCAACATTCTTTACTCCTTTCCTAAGTCAAACCCACTAACTGAAATATATTATTCTTATTAAAAATGGGGATCTCATGGCGTTTTAGATCAGTAAAAGTCAAAGGACAAATAAAGATTGATTTACTAAAGGCAGATAGGCTATTCACTTTGTAAGGTAACTTTCCCTTAGCTTAGTGAATGAGGTGAAGTACTGCTGACTTCTATTATCCAAGCATGTCCAAGCAACAACAGTTTTGTTTTTTATTTAACTTCCATGTGATTGGGTATTCTTTGCAAAGTGAATTTTTATCACATTTGCTAAGCTGAGAAATTTCCCTTGCAAAGTTACCAGTCTATTTGTTTTTAGTAAACCAATCTCATAGAACCATTTTTGTTTTTAGTAAACCAATCTCATAGAACCATACAGCTTCATAGTCTATACTTTATTATTTCTAGGTCTATTGGTGGCTCTACTGTACAAGTAAGCCAAAACAACAAGTGTTTTTCCATGTACACTAAACTGGGCAAGTTCATAGTTAACAAATGAGGCAACGAAATTAAATGACAGGTCAGCTCTGATTTTTTTCCATATTTTATCAGAACAGTGTATATTATTTAATTGAACATTTCTAATGCCCTTCAGTTACTATAGCATGTGCATACAGTATTTTCCACGATGTAGAGAAAATGTGCCTACATTAAATCAAAGTCTAACTAAAAAAGTAGGAAGTAATTTATCTAATGCAGTTTATCTTTAATTTGTTTTAAAGCCTTAACCTTTTTATTGGTAATGCAATGCTTACATTTCATTGTAATTTAAAAAAATTTTTTAAAGCATTGTTTTCATTCACAATACAGGGACCTCCTGTTTTAGTTGCACTTTAAAAACTATACTCCTTAAAACCTCACACTTTTTTGTTAGTTCAATGTTGGAGAATCCTGCTATTTATGATTACAGTGATAATTAAATGGCATAGTAGGAATCCAAGGGGAGATAGAAACCCCTGGTGAAGGCTAATGTTCATGAAAGGAGGTGGGTTGCCAGATTTTTATTAAATGGCTTTTCCACATAGATACAAATTTCCTAGATTTAGGAAAAATGACATACATATGTGTGTTTTCCTGGCTAGTGATTCACTTTAAAATTATTAACTCTTTGCATATTGTTATTCCATGTGCTGACTTCTCTGCTGCAATTGTGGAGAGTGCTGGTAGTTAACCTATTAGGTCTTTTAATGGTTTTATTCTAATCATTCCTGCATTGAAGAAAACAGTTCTAAAGTTGTTGCTGTACCATAAATTGCCAGATTTCCCATGCTGATTTGCAATAATATTCCTTAGCACTGTGTCCCAAATCACTCAATGTTCCTGTTGACTTTGTGAAAGTTATTGGTATGAGCCTTGGGACACTGCCTCCCAATAACAATGCTTGGACATTGCATTAAGTCACTCAAGAAACCAAGAGCTTAATTGTGGAAGTCAGGATTTTTTGGCAGTGAAAACTCAATTTAACCTAAGAGGGTACAGTCTGACACACTGTGGTGCCACCTTTATAGCAAAAAATTTAGTTTATGACATTATTTGGTCGTCCATGTTTACTTAACACACAGACAGATTATAGTACAAATCTTTTACTGAACACCCAGGGTGTGCACTAAACAGAGGCAGTAACTCCTCTAAGTTGGTCTGCTCTGCCTCTCCCTTCCCAACACTTACAAAGCAATAAGAGAACCATTGTATGACACTGAGTTGCTGTTATTGGCACAGTACGCAATGGGAAAAGTTAGAATGCTCCAACCAAAAAAGGTGAGCCTGCATTTTGAATCTGGGCTTCCATGGGTGCTCAGGGAAAGAATTGTACTATATGACAGGTACTTGCTGTCATCTTGCAGTTTCTCCATTTAAACTGAATATTTAGACTGAAAATTTCACTTTAATCTGTTCTGATAAAACAGTGTTGTACTTATTCAGCAAGAATAATGGTATTTTGCAAAGTATTGTAACTAAAAGCAGCCAAATTTCAGCAAACTGTAGTGAAAGATGACATTTGATTGGTTGTTATGTATTTCTACATTATACACATTACATTTTTCTTTACTGAATAGGCCTTTATGTATGTACATCATTTGGCTTCTAATATGTCCTGTTTGTTCAAGTAACACTGTAGCCATGATCAATTTGCACTAATTTTATCCTTTCGCTCTTACCTTTCCCGAACAAGGTTCTTTGAATTCCAAGTATGGCTTCTTTTTGCATAGTTACATTGGTCCAGCTTGGACCAATGTAAACATGCATATGCCATACCTGCGGGATCCCTATGGAAGCAGAGAATTGCTGTAGAAGTTACTGCTAGTATAGTGACCGCTGCTGTGCTGCACAATGAACACAGGGGATTGCTTGCTTGACATGGGTGCCATTAGCAGAACATCTTGCATTTTGCTCAATGAACAAAAGATGCTTTCTAACTGCATGAAGTGGAGAGGCAGACGGTGGAGGGATGTCATGAGCTCCACCTAGTCCAATCAGAGAGTGCTTTGCATTCATTGACAAAAATGCAGCCAATTCTGTGAATGGCTCCCATGCAGAGGGAGTGAACCTGTGTTTTCACTATGCATCAGGGCAGCTGCTGTGCACACGACATGAAAAATAGTGGCTATCACTGTAGTAGTGGTAATTACTACAAAGATTTCACAGAGATCACACTGATATGGCATATGCATACTTACATTGGTCAAAGTAACTATGCAAAAAAGACATACCTGGAATTTAGTTTTAACCTTTAAGTGTTGCTTGAGGTGATTGTAGCCATATTAGTTTACTTGTGACAAAAACAATTGAGTACCGACGTGATACTTTTTTTTATTTGCACTAACATACAATTTTGAGGAAAACTTTTGGGGTATGTCCCCTTCTTCAAGGTCCAGGCAGTACTACACAAAGTTTTAGCAGAATGTTAGAAGAGATGTGGGGGATGAAGAAAAAAGAAAAAAAAAACAAACAGATGTACAAAGCAATGGTTAAAAGACTAGGATTCAACTAGAGATAAGACACAGCAAAAGCAAAGACTGGGAAGGGGGAGGGCAGGAAACAACACTCACAGAGGGAGTCATAAAACTGTTGGATAATGATTGAGGAATCCCATGTCCAAATTAAGGCCGTTATCTCTTGTGTCAAATAGAATTATCATTCTTAGTTCAAACGTTTTTCTTTCCTGAATGGATTTGAAATTTCCTTTAAGAACTAAAATTTTTAGGTCTTCCATATTGTGGTCTGGTTGTGCGAAATGGTGTCCCACAGGTGTGCAGAAGTCATCTTCTTTATGTTCCTTGATGGTATGTCTGTGCAAATTCATCCTTGTTTGCAACTTCTGTCCTGTTTCGCCAACATAAGATCCCTTGCTGCATTTTCTGCACTGGCTAAGGTACACAACATTACTAGAGGTGCAGCTGTATGATTCGGAGATATTGAAGATCCCTTTTGAGTGTGTGACACTTTTCGATGGATTGATTTGGCTGCACAGTTTGCAGTGTTTTTTATTGCAGGGTTTGCTTCCATTATATGTGACATCTTGATCAGAAGGAAGTTTCCTACTGATTAGTTTATTTCTGAGGTTGGGGGGTTGTCTGAAAGCTAGTATTGGGGGTTGCTGGAATATTTCTTTCAGAGTTCCATCCTCTGTTATGATGGGTTGTATTACTGGATTATTTTTCTTATTCCTTCTAGTGCTGGGTTGTATGTGGTTCCTAGAGGTACACGGTTGTTTGTTTTTTTCTCTTTGTACAGAAGTAGATTTTCTCTTTGGATTCTCAAGGCTGTGTTTATGCTGGTGTTGATAGTTTTTTGTCCTTGTAACCTTTCTTATGGAAGGAGTCTGCTAGTGTCCCGAGATGTTTATCTCTGTATCTTGGGTCAGAACATATTCGGTGGTATCTAATGTCCTGACTGTGTATGATGGCACGTTTCGTGTGTGGAGGGTGGAAGCTAGAACTGTGGAGGTAGTTTCATCTGTCAGTGGGTTTCCTGTATATTGAGGTGTGAAGCTTTCAGACAACCCCCCAACCTCAGAAATAAACTAATCAGTAGGAAACTTCCTTCTGATCAAGATGTCACAAATAATGGAAGCAAACCCTGCAATAAAAACGCTGCAAACTGTGCAACCAAATCAATCCATCAAAAAGTGTCAGACACTCAAAAGGAATCTTCAATATCTTTGGATCATACAGCTGCACCTCTAGTAATTTTGTGTACCTTATCCAGTGCAGAAAATGTAGCAAAGGATCTTATGTTGGCGAAACAGGACAGAAGTTGCACACCTGTGGGACACCATTTCGCACAACCAGACCACACTATGGAAGACCTCAATATTTTAGTTCTTAAAGAAAATTTCAAATCCATTCAGGAAAGAAAAACTTTTGAACTAAGAATGATAATTCTATTTGACACAAGAGATAACGGCCTTAATTTGGACATGGGATTCCTCAATCATTATCCAACAGTTTTATGACTCCCTCTGTGAGTGTTGTCCCCCCCCCAGTCTTTGCTTTTGCTGTGTCTTAACTCTAGTCGAATCCTAGTCTTTTAACCATTGCTGTGTACATCTGTTTGTGTGTGTTTCTGTTTTTTTTTTTTTCTTCATCCCCCACATCTCTTCTAACATTCTGCTAAAACTTTGTGTAGTACTGCCTGGACCTTGAAGAAGGGGACATACCCCAAAAGCTTGTCCACAAAATTGTATGTTAGTGCAAATAAAAAAAAGTATCACGTCGGTACTCAATTGAACCTATAAGTGTTACTACCTACACTAGTCGAATCACTGTAGTCTTCTTTGAATGAAGTGTGGTGTGATTGTTTACATTACCGCTACTCCGATACACTGTACCTCCAGCATCACCACACATATTTGCTTGACACACTGGATAATGGCATCAGGGGTGCCCGAAATGGTTACTGCCCTCTCTGTGGAGTTAGGCAGCATATCTCCTGCTACCTGCACTTGAGCACCTGTAGACTGCAAAAAGGAGAAAGCATAACAATGTACCAAATATTGTGACATTTCATAAGTTTATGTTGTTTGCTTTGCATTTGTCATTGTACTATGTGCTTACTTTTTGATTTTTAGCATACTTTATAACATATAACAATAATTATACCATGAATCAAGGAAGATAATAAATGGCACTATGATTACTCTAAAAGTGCGAAGCAGGCAATATACAGTATATGGAAAGCAGATAACTAGGTGTTTCCATACATGTAAACTTTGCGAACACCCCAAGAGCCTCAATTATACAAATCGGGGTCATTTACTTTTGTTGAAAACTCAGGACTCCAGCTACACCTTGCTGTTAACCCATAAATATGGTGGATGGCCTCACTAACCAATACTTTCCATATCTGCCATTAACAAGCAAATTTTCAAGTGATCACAGAATCTAAGCAGTTTATGTAAAAGAGCTATTGAAATAGGCCTCCAGAAAAAAACTTTTTTTAGTTTGTGGATAGAATATAAAAAAGGATACATTTCCTGGCAGGTTTTTTTTCAATACATTTTTATTGAATGTTTTAAGTATACATTGAGGCTGTGCAGCGCAAGACAATACCATTAGAATTCAAAAATTGTCTTGATGGGAACTGTCAGAAAGTTGCCCCCCTCGAAAACTAAAACAATTGAAGATGACGATTGGTTACACACTAGGATTTTCCACAAACCTAAGGTATCGTAAGGCTAAAGAAGGGATGTCTCATGTGCTTTACTGTCTCACATACAGTGGGGCAAAAAAGTATTTAGTCAGCCACCAATTGTGCAAGTTCTCCCACTTAAAAAGATGAGAGAGGCCTGTGATTGGCATCATAGGTAGACCTCAACTATGAGAGACAAAATGAGAAAAAAAAAATCCAGACAATCACATTGCCTGATTTGGAAAGAATTTATTTGCAAATTATGGTGGAAAATAAGTATTTGGTCAATATCAAAAGTTCATCTCAATACTTTGTTATATATCCTTTGTTGGCAATGACAGAGGTCAAACGTTTCCTGTAAGTCTTCACAAGGTTGGCACACACTGTTGCTGGTATGTTGGCCCATTCCTCCATGCAGGTCTCCTCTACAGAAGTGATGTTTTGGGGCTGTCGCTGGACAACATGGACTTTCAACTCCCTCCAAAGGTTTTCTATAGGGTTGAGATCTGGAGACTGGCTAGGCCACTCCAGGACCTTGAAATGCTCACAGGAGCAATCAAACAATCAGATTCCAAACTCTCCACCATGGCAAAGACCAAAGAGCTGTCCAAGGATGTCAGGTATAAGACTGTAGACCTACACAAGGCTGGACTGGGCTACCAAACTATCGCCTAGCAGCTTGGTGAGAAGGTGACAACAGTTGGTGCAATCATTCACAAAAGGAAGAAACACAAAACAATTATCAGTCTCCCTAGGTCTGGTGCACCATGCAAGATCTCACCTCGTGGAGTGTCAATGATCATGAGAACAGTGAGGAAACATCCTAGAACAAAGCGTGAGGATCTTGTCAATGATCTCCAGGCAGCTGGGACCACAGCCACCAAGAAAACAATTGGTAACACACTACACCGACAAGGATTGAAATCCTGCAGTGCCCGCAAGGTCCCTCTGCTCAAGAAAGCTCATGTTCAGGCACATGTGAAGTTTGCCACTGAACATCTGAATGATGCAGAGGAGGACTGGTTGAACGTGTTGTGGTCAGATGAGACCAAAATCGAGCTCTTTGGCATCAACTCAACTCGTCGTGTTTGGAGGAGGAGGACTGCTGATTATGACCCCAAGAACACCATCCCAACTGTCAAACATAGTGGTGAAAACATTCTGGTTTGTGGGTGTTTTTTCTGCTAATGGAACAGGACAACTGCACCGCATCAAAGGGATGATGGACGGGGCAATATACTGTCAAATCATGGGTGAGAACCTTCTTCCCTCAGCCAGGGCATTGAAAATGGGTCATGGATGGCTGTTTCCAGCATAACAATGACCCAAAACACACGGCCAAGGCAACAAAGGAGTGGCTCAAGAAGAAGCACATTAAGGTCCTTGAGTGGCCTAGCCAGTCTCCAGACCCTAATCCGATTGAAAATCTGTGGAGGGAGCTGAAAGTTCGAGTTGCCAAATGTCAGCCACCAAACCTTAAAGACTTGGAGAGGATCTGCCAAGAGGGGTGGGCCAAAATCCTTCCTGAGATGTGTGAAAACCTGGTGGCCAACTACAGGAAATATCTGACCTCTGTGATTGCCAACAAGGGATTTGCCACGAAATAGTAAGTCATGTTTTGTGAAGGGCTTCAAATACTTATTTCCCTCATGAACATACAAATCAGGGCATAATTTGTTAGACATGCATTTCTTTTGAATTTTTTGTTGCTATTCTGTCTCTCAGTGTTACAATACACCTACATTTCCATTTTTTAGACTGGTCATTTTTTTGTGAGTGGGCAAACATTCAAAATCAGCAGGGAATCAAATACTTATTTTCTTCACTGTATATATATATACACATATGTATATAATTATATACCGTTGGTCTGGCCTCTGGCAGGAGCTATTGCTGTCTGTGTCCCAACTGAGAACAATTCCTTTCAATTCCTGCCCTGCTAATCACCAGAGAATTGCTGTTTGCATATTCTCTATAATGCCCATATAGACTTTACTGAGGAGCCAGTGAAACTCCTATTGTCTTGCAGTGAACAGTTTCAGGGGGTTTATAACTGAAGAAAGTTACAGTTGAACTAAACAACTGAATGCATTGGCTCCCCGGCCCCTGTTCCATGCTGCCTTCTTTAAAACCATGGCATGTGTGCATCTGCGCCGCTGGTGCCTTCCATGTATCTAAGACCTGGCAGGGACTGCCATGTGCACATATTCTAGAGGACTTCTGCATGTGCGCACAATGCTTCCATCTTCTGGCTGATTGCCACTATACCATCACGTGGCATTTGTGCGCATGCATGCACACATAAGCTGCACATTGGCAGCTTAGTAACACCCTGCTTCCTATGATGTAGCTATCTCTGAAAGAAGCAGGGTCCGTCCCTGGCTGGAAAAATGGAACTACTGCTTTGAAGCATGAAAATAAATAAAACAGTAAAAAATGGAATGAAAATTATTAGCTTTTCCATAAGAGGGAGAGGAAGGTGTACATTTAAAAATTGTGATCATGTTCAGTATTTTTAAAAGTGATATTAAAGTCTGTTTTTTCACTTGTACCTACGGGTAAGCCTATGATAAGGCTTACCTATAGGTACTGTAAATATATCCTAAATGTGCACCTTTTAGGAGATATTTACCTGTGTAGAGCACCGGCGCATGCGCTCTGAAGGAACGGCATGCCTGTGCTCTTCTTTCAGAGCTGTGTGCTGTAAAAAGTGTCTCCCGCATGCATGCGTGGATGTGACGTCATTGCAACTTGGCTGTTCAAGCTGCCACAGCCCTCGAACGTGGAATTTGGAGGGCTTCGTTTTAAGGTAAGTTTCGCATAATGTGCTAATATGCGATGCATAGCACATTATATAAACAAAATAGGAAGCGCCATCTAAGTGCAGAGTGAAATGTAATAATTTAATAATTCAGCAGTAATAAACACTTACAAGAGCTAGAACATGTTCTTAAAATGTTAAAAAGCCTCTGTGTCCTGGTCCAATGTCCGCTTGGGCATTGTGGCAAGCTGGAAGTGGTGTCTGGCAGACAGGAGACACTGTGGAACCCTGAAGTTGCTCGGAGCCAGCATCGAACACACGCTTGCCTTAGGCAGAAATGATGTCAGCAGGGACCAGTAAAGGAGATGGACAGAATCACAGCTAGATCATGTTCTTGTAGATGTTGTAAGTGTTTATTGCCATTGAATTATTAAATTTGTTAAAATGTTAGCATGTGATTCTGGAGGAGGTCTCTGGGACAGCGGCCACTAATTCAGAGTCAGTTATACCCTTTTGGATCCTTTATGGACTACCTAATAGGCTTTTAACATATGGACCTTGATCTCTATCCCCACCTGCGCCAAAACCCTTGTTTGATACTAGCACATTATGCCTTTGTCTTGCAGGGGAAAATGTTTTTTCTTCTCCCAGAGAGTTTACTACCACTTTAATGAAGAACATTGGAGGCAAGTTTTTATAAGTCTCTTCTAACCTTAAATGACTGACGATGTAGAAATGTGGGATACATTACCTTTAAAGTAAATGTGAATAAAATGTAAAGTACCACACAATTTACAAGATTTATTTTACATATGGAAACTTTTACAAATATAATTATTAATCATTTTTTTATATAAGGTACCTGCTATTTTATCCCAGTTGGCCCTTCAAATCACCAAGTGCACTAACCTCTCTGATCTCTTTGATCTTGGATCCACCTTTTCCGATCAAAGAGCCACACTGGCTTGCCGGTACCACAAGCCTTAAAGTGACAGGTGGTTTGCTGGTTGCAGTGCTGTTACTCATTGAATTTATGATATCCTAGGAACAAAGAATACTTTAATCCAGTATAAAGATTTTGTGTTCTGTAGTAAAATTTAGAAGATGATGTTCAGTGATGGTGTCACACTGCCCTCTGCAGCATAATAGCGATACAAGAATGCAGAGGTACCAACACTTTCCATTAGTAATCTTCTACAGTGCTCTGAGAAGCCTGACATTTAGGGTGCTATAATAAGCAAATATTGACATTAACTAGAATGTCTAGTGAAAGTTCTCATTTATCAAGGTTATGGTAAATCTAGTAATAGTAAGTCACATCTAACGGGGCTTGTTCTGTAATTTTGAAGATGTGTCTGAAAAATATCCCAGCATTGGTATCCACGTATTCACGGAAATTCAACTTGGAAAATTGTGTTTTTCCCACACTTTTGTCTCCCATGCTTTACTATTGGTTCTTTAATGTGATTGGTGGCATCACTAACCAAGAACTGCTTCAAAGAGAGAGACCAAAGTGCCAACTTCCAAGACAAAGTCAGTATTATCAGAAAAGAGCTGCTGGGGCTCTTTAGAAGATTACTAAATGGATGTGGCGGCACCTTTGGGTACACTTCTAAAGGCAGTTTCCTACCTATATCGCAGTAGAGGTATAATGGAAAGCAGAATTCTAGCAAATTAATGAAAAAGGTAACATATTCAAATCACATATTCAATCAAAAACAATAAATGTTTACAAATACTGATGGCATTATTACCTAAAATATATCAATAGGTTAGAATAACAAAATCCTCCTTCAGAACAGACATCGGGCTGGTAGAGTAAATGTCAACACTGTGAACCTACTGTACTTAAGGGCGGACTGACCATTTGGAAACTCGGGCACTGCCCGAGGGCCTGGGGTCAGTAGGGGGCCCCAGGAGATGCCCCTGGTACCTTTTCATAGGCTTTTTTGAGTTTGGGCAAGGACACAGGGGCCCCATGATCCCCTATTGCCCGGGGGCCCCATGAGTTGTCAGTCTGCCCCTGACTGTACTGTATTGTTAAATTTACTATAGAAACACATCTGAATTCCAATCGTCAAGGGATCCTTGGGCCCACTCTGTAATCATTTTGTTAAAACCTTGGTAAAATAAATACATCTTGATCCATTAATTCCCCCTCTGCTACCCTGGAGTAGCACTGTGCCAATATAAAGCTTGCCTCTAACCGTTTGTACTTGTGTACTTGTTTAGCCTATTCACTGTTGTTACTTGATATCATTCCCTCTTGCAAAGGAAGCAGAAAAATGAAATGTGGAGAATGTCTCTGGTACATTCTTCAGTGTAATATGTAGGATAGAGCTAATACTATCACACTTATTATGCAATCATTAGTCCACAGGCATATTTTTTACTCTCTTTTAAATTGTTATTCATCTGGTGACTATGCCACCTACATAACGCAGCCAATGCATACATTTGTTGTTACTTCTTTGTAAAAAACCTGATTGTACCTAGCTGGAGATAGCAAGACTGAATTCAGAAAACATAATGCATAGTTGCTAACTGTCAAGGATTACTAATCTGCAGTGCCGCTGTTTCTTAATAATAAACTAAACTCCCAGCCACTTTTGTATCAATCCGCCAAATTGGCCCAGCGGATTGATGTAGAAAAGGATATTAGTTTAATTCACAGGAGGCTCTGTGCTGCATATTAGTCTGCTGGACCTGAAAATGAAAAAAATAGTCCCCAGTCTGCCGCTGCTCCCTTCCCGCATAGCAAATGGCAACAGGAAAGTTTTTCTTTTTTTCAACTGCTCTATCTGCGGTGTCCTTGTCCTGATCTCAGATTTCTGGGACACTGGCCGGGACTGAGCAATGGCAGGACATCATGTAAAAACTCGGACCCTCTCCTGTGGTACGTCTGCAGTCTCTGACCCTCTCCTGTGGTACTCCTGCAGTCTCTGACCCTCTCCTGTACTATGCCTGCAGTCTCTGACCATCTCCTGTACTATGCCTGCAGTCTCTGACCCTCTCCTGTACTACTCCTGCAGTCTCTGACAATTTCCTGTACTACTCCTGCAGTCTCTGACACAGTCTTGTATTACTCCTGCAGTCTCTGACCCTCTCCTGTACTATGCCTGCAGTCTCTGACCATCTCCTGTACTATGCCTGCAGTCTCTGACCCTCTCCTGTACTACTCCTGCAGTCTCTGACCATTTCCTGTACTATTCCTGCAGTCTCTGCAACAGTCTTGTATTACACCTGCAGTCTCTGACCCTCTCCTGTACTATGCCTGCAGTTTCTGACCCTCTCCTGTACTGTGCCTGCAGTTTCTGACCCTCTTCTATACTACTCCTGCAGTCTCTGACCATAGTCCTGTACTAACTGCAGTAACCTCTAGGAACCAATCAGTGAGCGGTAATGATGTGCTGTAACCTCTAGCAACCAATCAGTTAGTGTGGACCAGTTCTTTATGTTTACATTATTAAGTTTTTTTAAAATAAGTCTGTCTATGTGTGTGTTTATTTGTTTTTTGGAATGTTGGGGTAGAGAGCAAAATTGCATGGGAGAGCCCAAGAAAATCTCAGACTCTGTTTAACCACAACCCCTTTAAGCCATACTCAATATTTAGCATAATTTAAACCACACCCATTGTTTGGCACCTTCTTTTTCAAGTTGGGCACACCCATAAATGAAGGCCCCACCCCTAATTAACATACTGCTCCACCTACACTGTCTTTCTGAACATACAGGAAAAAAAAGTGTCCCTAAAAATTTCTTTAAATGTTGGCAGCTATGCATGATGTAAGGAGAAAAACCAAGAGTTCTGTAACCATTGGGTGTATTAAGCCCAGACATAGGTCAGCTTGCCGTATTGTCAAGCTTGCGAAACTGAAATGACAAGAGGAAGGACAGATAAGTTGGAATAATAGAGTGCTCAGCAGGTTCTCTATAAATTCAGGCTTTGTTAGTCTTCTACAGAAGCAACGGTACTGAGTCTAAGTTGTCCAACAGGCGTTTTCCAAAACAGAAAACCAAATCTAGGGCTGATAGTGTAGGCTGAAAGTCCAAAGAATCAGAAAGTGATCCAGAACAGGGATCAAAGACAGATGAACAAAAGCAGGGCAGACTAGGGCCAGATTTAGACCTTGGGGGGCCCTTCAGAATCAGGGGGGCCCTCATACACAGAGTTGGTTTACATTCTCAATGATAGTTACACATTTTCAAAATGCATGACACAATGTCATTCTGAGATTCAAGCATACACACACACAGTAATAGGCTACCTTACATAGGGGAATGCCGTCCCCCACCTTCCCCTAAAAAAAAAAAATAAAAGTCAGAAGCTACAATACAAATACTGCAGCTGCTGACTTTTAATATTAGGTCACTTACCTGTCCAAGCATCCAGCGGTGTTCTCACCCGAGCCGATTCTTTAATCTGACATCTTGACTAACGGAAACCGCCAGTGAAACCTTGTGGCTTCACAGCTGGTTCCCTACTGCACATCCACAAAGCATGCTGTGCTTTGTGAGTGGGCCGCAGTCTTCGGGGACCTGTGGAGTGTTGTTCTGTCGGCTGTGAAGGCTGTTGGGGAAAGGGGGGGGGGCAAACTTCCAGGTCAGTTCACCCCAGCCAAATGTGGCAGCAGAGGGGGGGGGGCAGACAAGCAGAGCTTCCCCTTTTGGGTGGAACTCTGTTTTAAGAGTGTAAGAGCCTATGTGTGATTTGCTTGAGCTGCGAAAATTCATTTTCATAAACAATACAATATTCCAGTCCAGAATAAAGCTTTTTACAGATGATGGCAGGCAAAATATTACTTCCCAAAATACATTGAACTTACAGTTTAAACTTACATTTAAAGAAAGTAATTTATTATTATTATATATGTTTTACTTTATTATTTTTATATACCAAACATAATTATACATACTGTACATTATTTGGACTACATAGACAAAATTGAATGTGTTTTTGTTTACAAATATGAAAACTCATACTATACCCTGGCCCAATATTTGAGACCTGTATGCTGTTAATAGTAATTGGAAAGAAATACCTCTTCAAATTTATAAGCAATCATAGCAAAGGCCTTAAATATAGCATCTGTTGGTCCAGTTATTGTAACAATCCTTTCTGGACAGTTCCCTTCTGAAATGTTAATTCGAGCTCCACTCTATAAAAAAGAAAATCATCATTATATCATTATTACCATGATAACATTAGTAACATTCAACAAGTTATATAGTTACATAGTTAGTCTGGCTGAAAAAAAGACAAAAGTCCATCCAGTTCAACCATAAAAAATAAAGTTATAATCCTATACCCACAGCTGATCCAGAGGAAGGCAAAAAAAACAGCAAAGTTAAAATTACTGTTATAATCTCTAACACTTTTTCTCTAGATTAATGCAAGCGATGCTCCAATGGGGAGCAAGATTTTATCTTAGACTTAAAGGAAATGTAGTACCAAATTATGAGCCTTAAGAAAGGCAATTATGGTGCAACACGTCAGTCAAGCAGTGGCGCCATCATGTTGGGCGGAGTCTTGATGCTATCTTTGAAAATGTTTTTGTGATATGCCGCCTTTATCTGCTGATATATATGTGAGTTTAATTTTAACTCTTTTAATAAAAAATAAAAAATGTATTTAAATGAGCACAGTTGACCTCCTTATACTGCAGTGGGGGTCCTACAGATAAGGTGAGCAGACACCTATAAGGTGGGGTGAAGGGCACCTGGGTGTGCATAGCATGCATATTAAAGCCTATCTTATTTGTGAAGAAATTGGAATTTTAGTTCAGATTGCATGGGAATTGGATGGTGTATGGAACTTGATTTATTGAATGTTCATACTTTCACAATCTTTTATGATGATTTATTAATATTGCACTAAACTTTTTAAGAGAGGTTATATTTATTGCAAATTTGTGCATTCACTGATTTATTTGATTCATGATTTTATATTATTTATATATTTATATTTTCAGTCATCCTTATCCACGTTCACTATTTGTATTGGGTATTTCTATTTATTTATTGAAAGCATTTCACTATTTATTTATTTTTATAATAAATTATGCAAACTGCATGTATGTAGGCAGTGGGACACAATGGGGACTGTGCTTGTATATACCCTTATATATTATGTAAAATATCTTATGGTGTTACTTACCTCTTCCCTCATTTTCTTCACAGTTTCTCCTTTCTAAAAAAAAATCAAAACAAAATAGGATAGTTAATTCTATAATATTCAGGTTTAACATCCTTCTTTGCACAAATAACTTGTTTTACCACTAGGTGGTGATAAGACGCACAAAGATTTGCAATAGCTTTTCATTGGTATACAATGGGGGCACCAAAAACGCTCCAGGTTTGAAGTCAGTAGGAGCAAAAAAAATTCTAGTGTCTGTGATCAAGTGGGAAGAGAAATAATGCCATTTCATCAGTGTCAGTGAGAAAAAGAGCACATCACCGTTGGTGTCAGTGGAAGGAATAGTGCCCTATTGGCATCAGTGGGAGGATATTGCTCCTTCATTGCCACCACTCAGAGGAATAATGCCCCATTGTTGTTGTTAATTGGAGAAAGTGTGTCTCATCATTTGTATCAGTTGAAGAATTGTAGATCATCATTTGTATCTGTGGGAGGAATGATGTCCTGTCATTTGTGTTAGAGGGAGGAATAATGCTCCATCATTGGTGTAAGTTGGAGGAAAGGTGCACCATCAATGGTGACAGTGTGAGCTATTGTGCCCAATGTTGGTGACAAGTGTGTGAGAAGAATTTTGCTCCATTGTCATTGTCAGTGGGGGGGAATTATTCTCCATCGTTTGTGTAAGTGGAAGAAATAACAAGAAATAGTGTCTAATCATTGGTGCCAGTGGAAGGAATCATGTCCCAAGGGCCATATGGAGGCAATCAAAGGACAGTTTGTGGACCACTGGCATACAATGTATTATCTCACCTTTCTCTGTTGTAATTTGCTTTAGACAACAGAAAGCAAATAAATAACAGATTTAAAGTATTAAAGTAATGCTACACATATAATTTCTGCAATCAGTTGGGGATTAGAAGAGGCAGTTTGTTCAAACAAAATAAGGCCTCATGCATACTGGACCTCTGGCCACTTCTCCTTTCCTCCTGGTAGCAGAGTTTTGTCAGAAAAAAAGTTGGAACGCCTTTAAGTGCATTTATGCGCATCAAGCTCCTGGGCGTAAATTCATTTCACTGGCCAGAATCATAATTTATTCTAGCCATTGAAATGAATTAATGCTCAAGAGCTAAATGCACCTAGCATTAGAGTGCCTACACACATCAAGAGTTTTCTATGCCAAAACTCTGCTGCTCCTGGACACGCTGGCATAGGTGGGGGCTCAGAACACTTACATTGTGATCAGCTGTGTCACTGGACACAGCTGATCATGTGGTAAAAGGGTGTGTGATTGGCCCTTTACCATATCATGTGATCAGCTGTGTCTGATGGACACAGCGATCACAGAGCTTTCCGGGTGCATGCCCTAGGGGACGTGTGGGAGGCGCAGTTTTGGAGGACGTCATATGATGCCCTCCCAGAACTAGACAACCACGCTGTAGACGTCATTCGCCTATAGCTCGCTTGTCAAGTGGTTAATGAAGAAGAACTACATTAAAATGGCGGTGGCTAAAATGCCAGGGGGGGTTTTTTCAAAGTGATTTCTCAGGGAGATAAAGCTTTCAGTTTGTGTTGCTCAGATACAGTTAAATTCCACTTTAAGCATTATTTGCATTTAAATTGACCTAACAACATAGGTCAGTCTCCTCTGAATTTGGTTTCCTAAGTATTAGGCTTTTACTGCAATTCATCCCCAGCCATAACCGCACACAATACAACTGAATACATGTGGACTGCATCCCAATTACCACCCCACAATTTACCTTTAATATCAATTAAAGTAAAATTCCAAGATAACCAGGCTAACTTTAAAAATGCTCTCTCCCACCTCCTAACACATATGCTGACTAACCTGTGTAAGAAAGACTTACCTATTTTCACCTACCTATTATAGACACTTACCTATTTTTAGCCTGCTCCAGCCTGGTCAAGTGATCTCCCCTATGTTAGCCAACAGTGGCTGCAAAGGAGAGAAAAGATCACTCAACAATACCTGGGAATGCCTGGAAGCAGTGATGTCACCTGTTGGCTCTTATGGCCATCCAGTGTTGGTGCTCCTTCCACTCCCCTGCAGCCACCACTGGCTGACACAGTGGAGCCAGATCATGTGACCAGGCCAGAGCAGGCTGAAAATGGGTAAGTATACATATCTTTTTTACATAGGTTAGTCAGTATAGGTGTTAAGTGGGGGGAGGGAACATTTTTAAGATTAGTTAGACTGAGGCTTGAATTTTACTTTAGCCGCTTTCCCGCCGCCCCCTATAGCAAAAATACTGCTACATGGTGGCAGGGGCTGCACAAAATCATGTATATATACATGATTTCGCATTTTTCAGGTAGGGGGCACGCACATACCTACACTGCCATTGGCGGCTTCAGCTGTCGATCACTGGGTCCCGGCCAGTGATTCCCCACCCGGTGATTGCCAAGTACAGGGAGAGACCTGTATGTAAATAACAGATCTCTCCCCTATCAGCACCTGCACACTGCTTTGTATGGCTCTGCATAGCAGAGCCATACAAAGCAGTGTGTTTACACAGTGAAGCACACACACAGCACACAGTTAATCCTTTGATTGACCCAGATGTTAACCCCTTCCTGCCCAGTGTCATTAGTACAGTGTCAGTGCTTTTTATTAGCACTGATCACTGTATCAGTGTATTTTAAATTTTTTTTTACTGGACATGTTTAATAGCAAATAAAATGTTTTTTTTTTCTCAAAATTGTTGGTCTTTTTTTTTTTATAGCGCAAAAAATAAAAAATGCATAGGTGGTCAAATACCACTGAAATAAAGCTCCATTTATGGGAAAAAAGGAAATAAATTTCATTTGGGTGCAGTGTTGCATAACCGCGCAATTGTCAGTTAAACTAACGCAGCGCCAAATCGCAAAAAATGGCCTGGTCAGGAAGTGGGCTAAATTCTCTGGAGGGCAAGTGGTTAAGCTGAGATTTCATACATAATGATTAAGCTCTTGCTGAGTGAAACACAGTACAGGGAGAAGCCCAGGTAGGTGGTGCACAGTTTCGTAGCTCAATAAAGTTGATTGCAGGATAGTATTTTGATTGGAATTCTTCATTTGCATCGGGTCCTGAATGTTAAAGAGGAGTTGCACTCAAAAGCCTCCTCCCCCCTCCACTGTCATATTTGGCACCTTTTGGGGGAGAGGGGGGAGCTGATACCTGTTTTTAACAGGTACCCGTTCCTACTGCTAGCTCAGTTTGCCGCGACGAAGGGACAAAGCGGGTGAGAACATCGCTGGACTCTGGGACAAGTAAGTGTGTAGACACAAATCCAACACCTCCTGCGCTCAGGGACCCAGATCAGAGGAAGGCCGATCGGACAGTATATGATTTGAAATTGTAAAGTTCATCCAACACTGATCAAAGATTGTGCAGCTCTAGCAAAAAAGCTGGGGAAGCTTGATACAGACTGTGGTAGAGAACAAAAACAGAGCGCACCAATCTTGCGCATTACCTCAGTAGGCAATAAATACATTTATTAACAAAGAGATATACTCACAAGATAAGCAATATAAAAGGCATATAACATCCAAGTACAAAACACTGGTTTAGGAGACACCTGCGAATGAGCTCTGAGGAAGAAGGGACACTCAGAGAGGGGCTTGGGAGTGAGCATACATAAGTGCCCCCAGAACAAGCGGCTTGCTATGGGGGTCTCGGAGATAAGGAGGAGCCAGGAACACCAGCAGGGGACCCGAGAAGAAGAGGTTTGGGGATGCTCTGTGCAAAGCCATTGCACAGAGCAGGTAAGTATAACATGTTTTTTTTTAACTCTACCCTTAAAATCACTGCCAAGAAATAAAAAAGGTGACAGTGGAGGAGAGCTCCAGCTCCAGGGAACCCCCCTCGAAACGCGTCAACTTGACCCTGAGAGTCTCTCTCCCATTTTGATGGGATTCGCACGTGTCTCCTAACCCAGTGCTTCGTACTTGGATGTTATATGCCTTTTATATATCTACTCTTGTGAGTATATCTCTTTGTTAATAAATGTATTTATTGCCTACTAAGGTAATGCGCAAGGTTGGTGCACTCTGGTTTTGTTCTCTACCACAGGTAAGTGTGTGTTTATTAAAAGTCAGCAGTTACAGTTTGTGTAGCTGATGACTTTTAATAAACACAAAAATGTCTGGAACTCCGCTTAAATTATGAGAGGGTGGTGAAACCCTTTGTAGCTTCTAACTTACTTTTCACACTGTAGCATTTTTTTCTGCTTGTAGAGGTTGTCGTTTTGCTTGTTAAGGTAATGAATGAATTGAAAGTGTATACGTTCATTGTAAAATAAACTCCCTGAAGAGCAATAATCCAGCATCATTGCATAAGAAAAATTCAATGTAAATTCATACTATAGATAAAATATACCACCATACCATCATATTCTTGCGGTGGGGATGACCACAGAAAATGATACAGCAAAAGACCACGAAAAATGACAGAGACGATGGAGCTAAACCATTATGCAGTGAATCACTGCAGAAATGACATTTAATTATTCACAAGAGTTGTATGTTTTGCACAAATAAAGGCCACAAAGGTCAAGCTTCATTTGCTGTGCTAAGTAGGAAATAGGTAATAATGCAATAAAGCTTTGCAAACATTATTTATTAACTCTGCATATAGGTTGAAAAGGCACCAAACTATACCAGCTAATCCAGCTTGTTATGTAACCTATACCAGGCAGATAAGAGCAAGCTGTTACTTAAGACTAAAGCATACTTGTCAAAAAATAACCTAGAAAACGTAAATGGATTCTATTGGGCCTGAATTATAAAAGTGTAGGCTAGATATATTGGGGGCCACAGAAAGCATAGAAAAGTGGCCCCATGGGATTGTTGTCTCTGTCTCCCTGTTTTTTTTTTTTCTTTAATTTATTTGTCATTTATTGATTATATCCCATTAGCTAGATTACATGTTTAGCTTTGAAGAAAGTCCTTGGAGTTACTGGGCAGAAGTGCTGTCGCCAGACAGATTGTGGGCTATTACCAGAGTTACTATTTAGCTAACTGTGGATTCACAATTTTATGTTTTGGAGGTC